ACAAAAAAAAAAAAAAAAAAAAAAAAAAAAAAAAAAAAAAAAAAAAAAAAAAAAAAAAAAAACAAGTCAGTAAGCCTGAGGTGGAATATAATCTTTGAGCAAATCCAGTTATGACAAGTGTGTACGAGCAATTGTAGAAATAACCAGCGGCAATGGGATTAAAATTTGAAAATAACAGTGAGGCTTGACAGCCCCATAGTTTTAGTAAACATACCGTCTAATTTAGATATTCTTAAAGCCTTAGCTTCCCAGATAAGTATTCGTTATTTTTAGGCACTTCCTAGGCTCAAATGTGTATTTTCAAGTACAGGTTTGGGCATATGGCTTGAGTCCTTAACATCCTTAATAATTTTGAAACACTGTAATACAATATAATTACACACACAACTTTTGTATGAAGCCATCATGTAAGGAAAGGTGCTGGATGGCATGTGCAAGGTCAGAAAAATTTTATATAGAATCACAGAATCATAGAATAGATTGGGTTGGAAAAGACCTCCAAGATCATCAAGTCCAACCCCTGATCCAACTCCAATTACTATATCATGGCACTAAGGGCCACATCCAATCTCTGTTTAAAAACCTCCAGGGATGGTGAATCCACCACCTCTCTGGGTAGGCTGTTCCAATGCCTGATTACCCTCTCTGTAAAGAATTTCTTCCTAACATCTAACCTAAACCTCCCCTGGCAGAGCTTGAGCCCATGTCCCCTTGTCCTGTTGTCGGTTGCCTGAGAAGAGACCAACCCCCACCTGGCTACAACCTCCCTTCAGGTAGTTGAAGAGAGTGATGAGGTCACCTCTAAGCCTTCTCTTCTCCAGACTAAACAACCCCAGCTCCCTCAGCCTCTCCTCATAGGACTTGTGCTCAAGTCCCTTCACCAGCCTCGTTGCTTACATACTGTTTATTTTGTAGACAGGGAGTAGGTAGTACCAACTCTGATTAAGTTTGTCTGTAATTTGTTATTCATCCAACTTCAAAAAGCTTATTTCAAAACTTTCAAGATTATCACCTGCCTACACTGCTATTTTCGAGGGAATTTCCTGGTCCAGGTATTAGAGGGAAAGATGACAGGAAAAAATACTTTGTGGGTCCCAAGAAAATCTGCTTCCATTCAGAGAAGTTATAATTGAAAACCTGCTGTTTGCAGAGACTCAGAAGAGAACACTTTGAATTTAACAAATGATGTCTCCTTACCCATTTGGATCTGAGCACGACTTTTCCAACACTTTCAGCTTTTTATTATGGTCACCTGTAGCAGGAAGAAGAATTTAAACTTAAGGGAGGTGAGTTCAGAATCAAATGGGGAACAAAAAGCATGACTGAGATCAGAGTGAGAAAAGAGGGGGATTAACTTGGTAGCTGGAAAATTAAGTGGGAGCTTAATTTTGGAGAAGATGGTGTCAGAGGGAGAAAAGACAATCAGATGGTTAAAGCCACCCAAAACTATCTCTGCATTGGTATCCAAGTAATCATCATTACTATGGTGTTTAATAAACCATAACTAATTGTGTATTTTATATTTCTGAGATATTTATTTGCACTACTGGAGACTCTGTCTCCAATTTTGTAGAGTCAGAGCTCCCAAGGAAGACACCCTACTACTTTCTGAACATTTACAGTGCTGTTTTCCAAATTCAGGTCCCAGGCATCTTAAAATGGGATTTGTTTCCTATCACTCACCTTTCTGGGACTGGCAGAATACTGCTAAAATGTTACAGAGTGCCAAGGGGAAAGAACATCTTCCAGACTCTGCTTGTTTCCTGAGATAGCAGCCATAATGTACCGTAATGTCAGAGGTACCCACTTCTGAGTAACACAGATAACAGCTTCCAGCACAAGGCTTTTGAGGGAAACCTTAACTGCTCCCTGGAGAACAGAGGCCCAGACACAACAATGTTTATAGCATTTAATAACTTTTAAAGCCAGAATGACCCATACCATTATCTTGCCTGCCTTTCTGCATAACACAAACCACAGAATTGCACTGAGCTCCCAGAATTTGGTTAAAGTAGAAACACTCATAGCACATAGTTACACGTATGCTGAGGGGTAATTTTCCTCTCTGCACTTTCTAATGCATCTTTTGTTCTCCATCAGTATCCTAAGTTATACACAAATCCTTTAACTGGGGAGTAGGACTGTACAAAAAGACTTCAAAAGAAAGATACTAGTTTCTAGAACTTAAAAATCAACTCCACGTCTTGAAAGACAAATCTCCTCATACAGACTTTCCAACATATCATCGGTGAGATCCTAGAGACCTTGGCCAAAAATTTTTCACTAAATGAAATGCTGGTTATCTTTTGAATGCTCACAATTAAACTAATTACAATAATTTAACAACTAAGAAATACAGGAAGAGATTTGGAGAAACTGTATCCACAGAAGGATGACACACTCTCTCTCAGGGTGACCATGCACAGATTGCCCCGAGAGGTTGTGGAATCTCCATTCTTGGAAGAT